CGAGGATGTGGGCAAGTTGACAATACACCTACCATGCTTTTCTCTCAGAGCTTGGGTGGGAGGGAGCCAGACTGCCACTGGGGCCCCTCCAGCGGAAGGGAGGAAATAGAGGCAGAGGTGAGGTGAGCAGATGGGGCCAGGCACGTACCTGGTCTGCTGAGCAGATGCTGGCGGCCCCACCTGCGAACTGCCAGGCCCTGTGCGAGATCAAAACCCTGCAGCCCCAGCACCTGTGCGCCAGAAGGCCCAGCCCTGCTGCGGCAGGTAGGGACCCAAGAGCCAGCTGCTTCCTCCCACGTGACAAAGCCTGGAGCCTCCAGCTGTCAGGGATTAGAGTGCACCGCCCTGGGTCACTAAGGGGTTAAACTACAGGCAGTTGCCATCTCCTCTGGCTTTTTCTTTGCTGCTGGCTCTGGCTCTGCAGTTTACTGGGGGCTCTGGGATTGGGGCAGTCTTCAACTGCAGGCTACCCAAGCAGAAGATGTGGCCTTTAGGAGTAATTTTTTTTTAATGTTTTATTTATTTCTAGGAGAGAGAGAGAGACAGTGTGAACAGGGGAGGGTCAGAGAGAGAGCGAGTCACAGACTGAAACAGGCTCCAGGCTCTGAGCTGGCGGTCAGCACAGAGCCCAACGCGGGGCTTGAACCCACGAACCGTGAGATCATGACCTAAGCGAAAGTCGGACGCTCAACTGACTAAGCCACCCAGGCGCCCCTAGGAGTAATTTTTAATGAACACAGAACACAGTCAGCCCCCAGGGTTTCGAACATCCGGGCCCAGGAGTCCAGAGGCCTGGTGGAGACGTGGAAATCAAAGAGAAACCACTGTGTTCCAGACACAGGGTAACTTACTGAGCTCCTACTACGTAGCAGGTGGGTTTGTAGTTATAATTTCAACCATCTATGAAGCAGGTTTTAGCATCTGCATTTTCTAGAGAATTCTCTGAGGCTCGGAGGAATTAGGTTAGTTAACGAAGGTCCACAGGGAGATTAAAAAGCCAACAGGAAAATCAAAACTCACTTTTTCGGATGATAGGGTCCTTCCTCATCTCACTGTCTGAGGCTGCTGCTTGTTTAAATATCTGTCTTAGCCCACATGGGGCTGGGCTGTGAGTTGGGGGTGGTGGCGGGAAAAATAGCACATGGCAGTGGTTCTCAACGTGTAGTCCAACAGGGACAGCCTCAACATCACCTGCCACCTTCTGAGAAATGCAGATTCTCAGGCGCACCCCAGACTGAGTCAGAAACTTTCTGAGTCAGGAATGCTGGCACTGAGACCCAGGCATCCTTGCCTTAAACCTCAACTATTTCACCCTCAGACTAACTGCAAGGATGATGCATAGTATCATTGCCCCCTTTTTTCATGAGGACATTTTCTGACGAGCACTGGATCCAAACCCTGACTTCACCACTTCCTGGCTGTGTGACCTTGACCAAGCTACAGCCCTGGTCAAGCCTCACACTTGTTTCCAGTAAAATGAGGTGCTGTGAGCTTGGTGCCATGCCTGGCAGGTAGTGAGCACCAGACGGCTGGCAGATGGTATTGCTGTGGTTGGTCAGGGCCCTGAGAGGAGAAGGAAGAGGCTCTAGAGAATAATGCAAGCCACCGCTCTAACTGTCTGGGGCCTGACCTCCCTCAAGAACTCCGGAAGGGACAGGCTCCCAACCCCCTTCCTCTGCGCACAGTGGGTAGGGCACCCCAGTCTCCTGAATTTTAGAGAGCGCACAGGGGATGCTCATGCCCACTCTGGCCTCCCCGACTCTGGCTTGTCATTCGCCTTCCCCAGGCCTCATTTTCCTATAAAGAGAAGGGCTGAGATGTGCCTGGAGTTGACTTGACCCAGGGACTCCCTGGGCCCTGTGTGGGCAAGGGCTTTGACAATAGTCCAGGCACTGAGGAAAACAACCATTCCAGGGAATGCAGCCATGAAACAAAAGATGTACACCACACCCTCTCATCTACCCTAACAGGTCAGAGACATTAAAATAGGAACTTTCAAATGGAGGAAGCAGAGCGCCCTTGGCCCTAGGTCACTTGCACCTGGCTCTCACTGCATGGCCAACTTTGCTCCTGAGGCTCCTCAAAGAGGCAGCAGGGAGTATCGAACCCCTAATCAATTCCTCCTGGACAGATCTGGCTTCAAGGTGGGGAACCTGGTCTCCGGTCTGCAGAGGCCAGCCCCACACTTAGTGGTTTCTGGCTCTAGGAAAAGACAGTCATGTTAGTGCTGAAGGCAGGGGCACCTTTCTGCCTCCTCACATGCCATCTCCTTTCATACTCAACCACGAAATAAAGCCTCCCCTTTATGTAACAATAGAGCACTTTTGGTCTCATCTGCTCCTCATAGCTGCTCTCAGAGCACACTGTCATTGCTCTCATTTTCCAGAAGCTTGCACAGCTACAAAGCAGCAGGGTTGGGATTGGAACCCGTCCTCTAACGACAAATGCCAGGCACTTTAGAACTAGGGCTCCTAAAGCGGGGTCTGTGAAGCTAGAGCCGTTGAGCCTCTGAGAGGGCTCCGCTGTCTCTGTTCAAGAGGGAGGGCGTGGGTTCAAGTGGCCCAGCTTCCAGTCCTGGTTCGTCAACTTTCTAGCTGTGTATCCTTTGACAAGCCAATCGACTTCTCTGAATTAAGTGTCGTCGCTTGGGGCTGTAACCGGATAAGTTGAGAATGGTAACCTTGGCTGTTTTATGGCTCTCATGGCCTCTGATTTGATTAATAATGAGTGGAGCGTCGTTGTTTTACAGTAAGATGGTTTATTTGGTGGTAGGCAACATTTTTGGGGAATAGAGCCACAGAGTGGTGGCTAAATAACAAAGGGACTCCAAGATGACCAGGTCTGGGGCCATACCAGTGGTGCCCATCAGAGCCCTCCCCTGCCCGTGGACTGGACTTCTCTCACAAAAGAAGCGGGTCCAACCAGGTATCCCTGGTGGCAATTTTCATGCAGGAAAGGTCTCTGTGTGATCCCTACAGGGATTCATCTGCCTCTCTTTGAATGCTTCCCGTGTTGGGAGTTTCCCTCATGGGGTAAGCTCTCACGGGTTGGACGGTTCTAATTGTTACTAGACTCTTCCATGGAGCATGTCGGGACCAGCCTCCCTCGACCTCGAGCCTTCGGTCTCACTCTGGCCTCTGAGGCCCCGGGGTAAGTCTAGGCCAAGAGCCCTCTGGGTATCTGCAGACAGGCTCTGGTGTCTCTGCCAGCAAAGTCTCGTGTTTGTTGTGAGTCCGCGGCTCTGGCACCTGTAACTACCCCCCACTGTACTCCTCGTTTAAAAATTAGAGTTAATTAAATTCACGTAGGGAATTTCATAACACCTAAGGGATAACAGTAATAACACTACCACCCGTTCCCCCTCAGTGTGGTGCTTCGTTTCCTTCAAAGAGCCCCTGCAGGTTTTGTTTCAATTGATCTCAGCACCCCCCACCCCTGAAATGGGCCAGTGGGGGATTAATATTCTCATTTCATGGGTAAGGAAACTGAAGCTCAGACGTCCAGTGACTTGTTTAACAGTGAAAGCAGGGACTTGTACTGGGGGCTCCTGAATCCATGGCTAGTGCTTTTCTTCCCCCCCGCCTTTTATTATTTATTTTTGAAAAAGATAGAGACAGAGAGACAGAGCGCAAGCAGGGGAGAGATACAGAGAGAGAGGAGGACACAAATCTGAAGCAGGCTCCAGGCTCTGAGCTGTCAGCATGGAGCCCGATGTGAGGCTCAAACTCGGGAACTGTGACATCATGACCCGAGCTGAAGTCCTATGCTCAGCTGACTGAGCCACCCAGGCACCCCCTGTTAGTGCCTTTTCTACTACAGCTCATTATCAGAACTAATGCCAGGTTAAAAAAAATCCACTTCTAAGAATGTATCCTATAGAGGGAGTCTGGGTGGCTCAGTCAGTTAAGTGTCTAACTCTCGATTTCAGCTAGGGTCATGATCTCATGGTTCATGAGATCGAAGCCCTGGCTCAGGCTCTGCACTGACATCATGGAGCCTGCTTAGGATTCTCTTTATCCCCCGTCACTCGTGCTTTCTCTCTCTTCTCAAAAATAAAAAAGAAATAAACTTTAAAAAATCCTTAAAAAAAGAAAAGAATGTACTCTATGGGAATATTTATTTAAAAACGCACACATTTGTGCAAAAGAGTGATTATTGCAACATTGTTGTCAAATTATTACTTGCAATCTGATTGTCCATCAATAGAGAATTGGTTAAAAATTGTGGAACAGCCTTTAATGGAATTCTACACCGCTTTCAAAACAGTGGAGGTATATTTGTGCATAGACACAGGAATAATGAATCTGCTGTTTGGCTGAGCATGCAGTGTTGAGTGGATGAGAAATGCATTTTTTTAAAACTAGGTATAATATCCCATTTATATTTCAGAAATCTCTATGTTTAGATGCACATAAAAGTTTAAAGGACCCACAGCAGCTCTTAGCAGTGGTTATCTTTTATTTGTGTGTGTGTGTGGGGGGGGGGAGTTGGGGGAGGGCCAGGGGGGTAATTGAGAAAAGGCAAGCTGTGCTCTTTACATTTCTCTAAATTTTAATTTTTTAAGCAATAAATGAAGAAAGTTTAAAAACATTCAATGGGGTCTTTCATTCTTTACAGAGAATTTTTTAAAAATAAGGTACATTTTTATTTGAAAATATATATCTAGACCCCAGAGCATTGCCACAAAACAGTCTTATTTGCTTTCAAAGTGGGAAAATTTCAGAGTTCCAGTCGAGTATATGCTAAATTGGTCTTCCTTGAAGTATTCATGTCATCCTCAGGGACAACACTCCGCTAAGATTCTCTTATGCCCGTGAATAATCTCGGGACATGTTGGGTGGGAGCTCATGCAGTTCAATGGTTAATGGGGCTCCTGGTGGACTCTTTCTAACAGCTGTTTGAAAATTTTAATAGCAAGGACAGAAAAGGCAGTTATCAAGCCATACATTGTAATGTATGCCATACATTGTAATGACAGTAATAGTCGTAACAACAAAAGCTATTGTTGCTGCCATTTTTTATTTCTAAACTCCCCGAGGCCAAGGCCGTGTCCTGTGCAAGAAACAAGTGCATCTTGTCTACTTTGTATCTCCGGCAGTGAACACAGTGCCTGGAGTAGGGCTCCATGAACATCTGGGTAAATATCTGTTGGTAGAATGAGTGAAAAATCTATTTAGATTCTGACACGTTCACCACAAAGATGGTTTGCCCTGGTAATGCTGCTTCAGGAGTTTTAAAACAAAAGGATACTTAGTTGTCCAAAAATTAATACTCACGATTTCTTTTCGTTGTTAGAAAGCCTGGCAGATCCTTCTTTCTGATTCTGCCTCAAGGCTGCCAGGTGGAGGGCAGGGCCTTGGGGCCGATCTGGAAAGGGGAGCCCTCTTACAGTAGCAGCTGAGTGGTGAGCCTCACCACCCACCAGACAACCTGCACACAGTGGCCCCATGACAACTCTCTCCCGACATCCCAGGGTGATGTTTCCTAACTTGGGGATTGACACAGGTTTTGAACTTTTTCTTTAAAAATATCTACTGCAGGGACACCTGGGTGGCTCAGTCAGTTAAGCCTGACTTAACTGAGATTAAGATCGGACTCTTGATCTCAGCTTGGGTCATGATCTCGTGTTTTGTGAGGTCGAGCCCTGTGTGGGGCTCTGCACTGACCGCGTGGTGCTTGCTTGGGAATCTCTCTCCCTCTTTCTCTGCACCTCCCCCACTTGTACGTGCACATGTTCTCTCTTGCTCTCTTTCTCTCAAATAAACTTAAAAAGTACCTACTGTGTCTTTAGTTTATTGTCCTAAATGTCATAATCAAATCATTCTTTGTATGCACATGTACCCACATTCTTTAACTTCTAGATAGAGGCCAGAGCTCCCCACTTCCTTCCCTTTTCAGGTTGTCTGTGCTCTACTTTCTTGCCATAGATGGTTCTGAGGTGGTAGGACTGTCTGGTCGAGGGGGCAGTGGGGAGGGGTTCTTCAGGATTAGGGGATGGCCACTGGGGAATAGCTGAGAGCAGTGTAGACTACAAAATCCTGACCCTTGACTAAGGCTGAAAGTCATGGCTACAGGAAGTCCTCAAATTTCAGTGGTCACCCAGCTCACCAGGGCCATGACCTTGCAGCTTTTCAGAGGCAAGCAGCCAGTGTGCCTCTGGCCACAGAACCCCAGGGCCCTAAGCACACCGAGAGGATTCAAATAGTTCCAGTCCTGCCCACTTGGTAGCACCCTTAATGATAGGCTTTTTGGCGATTCATTTAAATAGAATCATTCTTAGGAATCTCTTCTAATTATCCCAGGGTCTGATGAACCTGGTGTTTGGTTAAAAAAATTTTTTTTTAATGTTTATTTATTTTTGAGAGACAGAGAGACACAGAGCACAAGTGGGGGATGGGCAGAGAAAGAGGAAGACACAGAATCTGAAGCAGGCTCTAGGCTCTGAGCTGTTAGCACAGAGCCTGACACTGAGCTTGAATCCTTCAACCGTGAGATCATGACCCGAGCCTAAGTCAGATGCTTAACCTACTGAGCCACCCAGAGCCCCTTGGTGTTTGGTTTAGAATCTTCATCTACTTGGTCATCCCAGGGCTGCCAGCGCCTCACCTCGCTTCTCTGCTTTGCTTCCAAGGAGCTGTGTAGAAATCCTGTGTGTGAAGGGAATCCCCCTGAATGCTCCCGGTGTTTGAGGAAATCTGAATCCCAACCCCCTAGTTCTTTATTGCTGTGAAACAATATTACCACAGACTTAGTAACTTAAAACAACACACATTAAAGGCGAAGGGGATTAAGAGGTACAAACCTCCAATCACAAAGCGAGTAAGTCACAGAGATGAGAAGTACGGCATAGGGAATATGATCCATAATACTGTAATAACGTTGCCCGGTGACAGATGGTGACGGCACTTATCATGGTGAGCATTGCATAGTGTATAGGATTTTTGAATTACGTTCTCGTATGGCTGAAACTCATATAACTTTATACCCTGGCTATATTTCAATAATAAAATAACTTAAAACCCCACCTATTTATCATCTCACACTTTCTGTCGGTCAGCGAAGCTGTGCCCTTTACTTTGGGGTCTCTTACAAGACTATAAGCAAACCGTCACCCGGGGCTGGAGTCTCTGAAGCTCGACTGGGGAAAGATCCTGTGGCAGGTGGCCGGATGTCATTCCTTGCAAGGTTGTTGGACTGAGGGCTTCAGTTTCCTGGCCACGGTTGTCCGTGGCAACCCCCTATTTCTGGTCACGTGGTCTCTCTGTGGGACAGCTCACAATACAGCAGCTGGCTTTACCAAAACTGCCCTGGGAGACGGTCTGCTAGCCAGATGGAAGTTCCAGTCCTCTGTGAGGTCATGGGGGCGTGGCCACCTGGGCTGCATTCCATTGGCTAGAAGTACATCACAGGTTCCGCCCACACTCAGTGGGAGGCATGGATACCTAGAGGCAAGACGCATGGGGCCATTTAGAGTCTGTCCACCACAGGGGTCAGCAAACTTCTATAAAAGGCTGGAGAAGACACATTTTAGGCCTGCAGGTCAGAGGGTTTCTGTCAGATCTCTGCCCTTGTAACGCAAGGTCAGCCGTAGACAGGCCATTAACAAAGGAGTGTGTTTCAATAGAACTTTATTAATGGATGCTGAAATTGAGTTTCATATCATTTTTACAGTCACAAAATGTCATTCATCTTTTGATTCCCCCCCCCACCCAAAACTACATACCAATATAAAACCATTTTTCGATTGTGGGCCATACAAAAATAGGTAGGGGGCCAGATTTGGCAGGTAGGTCATAGTTTTTGCCATCCCTGCCCTAGTCTATCAGGAAAATTAAATTTTTGCATATCAGATTTTCTTAATGGGAAGGACTCCAGAACTGCAGACTGTAGGGCGACCTCTCTGCAGGTGGTCAGCTTCTGCAGTTGGGTTTTAGAGATGGTTCAGTTCCTAGACTCTACCCCGACTCTGGTAAAGGAGGGAGACCGCCTCACATTTGCCTAATCTGAGTACCCCCTCACATTCACTCTGGCAGGCCAGCCGTGGAGAAATGTGTATTTGTCCTGAACTGACTTGTCCTGCAGATAGAAAGCATCCTCTGACCAGCACATACAGGCCATTGATAGGGACATACAAGTCCAGAGGGGCAAGGTGACTTCCCAATACTGGGGCTGGGATTGGACTCTCAAGGTCACTTCCCGTCTCCCATGTCAGTCCACGCTGCTCTTTTCTTGTTCTCCTTCCCTCCTTCTCTCTCCTAACCCAGCCACCAATCCCTCAAGCAGACTGAGAGTTCTCTGAGGCCTGATGGACCATCTCCCTTTCTCCTGCCTGCCCATCCCCTTCTCACCCCTGCCATTGCCTGGGGAGTAAGGGATGGGGCCAGGTGCACAGTAGGTTGGAGGGGGAGGGCGGCAAGCTCTCATGGAGACCAAGTAAAATCCAATGGGTATCTATTAAAAAAACCAAACATTTTCATAGTGTTCTGTATGAATGTATACTTCTTGAGCTGCTGACTTTGGAGCCGCAGAAAATGTTTGATGCTGTCTGTCCTCCGTGGACTTCCCTTTGACCTGGAGGGGGTAGTCCCACATGACTGTTAGCTTTCAGTTTGTGAATAATAAATGAGTATTTACTCAGTGAAATTACACCCAGGGGCTTATAATAGTTTGTCTACTGTGATCTTTTAAAACATTAATAGCATCATGCCTCCCCCTGCTTGATATCCTTAGAATAAAATGCAAAGTCCTCTCTGTAACTCACAAGCCCTGTCTGACCTGGCCCTGTGAGCTTCTTTGACCTCTCCTAACCTTGTCTTCACATTTTCTGTAGTGTCCCTTTGTTTCCCTAACAGCCAGGCACATGCCAGCCTCAGGGCATTTGCACTTGCTGTTCCCTCTGGCCAGAAGGCTCTTTCCTAGGGCTTTTTGAAGGGTTAATTCCTCCTCATTCAGGTCAAGATTTAAATGATGCCTCCTCCAAGGGGCCCCCACTTATCTCCCTTCTGCAGGAAGTCTGTTAGTTCCTCCGCATGCCTTCTTAGCCCCTGTAATCATTCTCTTTGTGGGTTTATCGGCTTTTTCTCATTTCCTGCTACATCACTAACACTTTCCATAGAACCTGGCTCTTGGGGATGACTCCATGAATATTTACTAAAAGAACCCAAAAATGTTTCCTTTCTCTCATAAGAAATAATTGCAACCCCTATGTCCTTTGGTGGTCACACAAACCAAAGTATGTCTTCCTCATCAATCCTACTCAGCAAAGAAAAGGTACAAACTACTGATACAGACAGCAGCTCGCATGGGACCTCAAGGGGATTATGCTGCTCAAAAAAAGTCAACTTGAAAGGTTACATACTGTATGTATGTATATAATATATAATATATGTAGGTATATTATATAACACTCTTGAAATATCAAAGCAATAGTGAAAGAGAGGAGATTAGTGTGATTGTGAGGGGTGGGGGCCTAGAGTCCAGGGAGAGGATGGGAACCTATGAGGGGGTCACATGAGGGGCCTTGTGGTGATGGAGCAGCTCTGAATCTTGATACTGGAGGTGGTTAAACAAAGCTACGTGTGTGATAATTGCAGAGCTGTATGCACACACACACACAAATGAGTGCTTGTAAAACCGATGGGATCTGAACGAATTCTGTGGATTATGCCAATGTCAGTTCCCTAGTTTGAGATTGTACTGGTTACACTCCCCATCCCAGGGAGGCTGCGTGAAGGGTACATCGACCTCTCTACACATTGTCTTTGAAACCTCCTGTTAATCTCCGTACACGTGGCTTTTGCAGCCTCCTGTGAATCGACAATTGTTTCAAAATAGAAAGTTAAGAAAATGTTCTGCACCCGTGGAAAAAAAAGACAAGTTTAAATTTTTTTCAAAATTATTTTTATCTTATTTTTGAGAAAGGTAATGAGTGAGGGAGAGGGGCAACGGAGAGAGAGAATCCTAAACAGGCTCACACTGTCAGTGCAGAGCCTAATATGGGGCTCAAACCCACGAACCTTGAGATCATGACCTGAGATGAAACCAAGTGACAGATGCCCAAATGACTAATCCACCCAGGCACCCCAAGTTTTAAATGTTTTTAATATTAAATCTATTTCTATAGGCTCTATTGTTATTGCCATTGTGATATGAAGTATATCTAGCTCAATTAAAAGCCTTTTTCAGAATGAATTGATCAACTTGTTTTGCCTCTACTATTCATAGACAATTCTTTTGTCTTATTTTGGGGTTGGGTATTTCTCTCTGGTTAATACCTGACATGGATAGAGCTTTACAGATCACACAGGTCTCTCACAGGCATATTTCACTGGAGACTATTAGTACTAAGGCAGTACTTTGATTGGTATCTCCATTTTATAGATGAGAAAACCAAGGCTCAGGTACAAAATGGTATACCTTAACTAAGAGGTAGAGCCTGACTGACTCAGGGCCCAGGTCCCCTAATTCCAAAGGTCCTCTCTTCCCCTTTTCCACCAATGACACAGGTTTGAGTACCCGTTTGGAGATCCCACATTCATCTACATTTATGCCAATATCTAGACACTGGAGCCTATACCTTCTTTCCTCTAGAGGGGCGGTGGCCTCCAGCCTCAACCAATTCCAAGAAGCTAATTAGCACTTCTTTTTACAAAACTCAAGGTGGACTAAGAGAGAAAGAGACTCTGTTGGTTGTTGCTCATTTGCGGATGTTTCCCTTGCAAAACCACATCAAAGCAGGGAAGCCCACCATGGACTTGGCCGGAAACCAAAGCTCCGCTGGCCAATCTGAGAAGCGGCAAGTTCCGTCAGGCCGAAAACCATTTTATCTTCTGGGCCCAGATTCCTCGCTTAGAGTTGATGGAGGCGGGGCCTTCCCCAAGCAGCAAAGCTCTCCTGAAGTCCCCAGCTCTCTTAGGGAGCCCCCAACTTAGGAAGCCCTGCCCTGTGCAGGCCTGGCTAGGGCGGGAGGTGAGCCTTCCGGCGGCCCCCACATGGTCACGGAGTGCCTCCCAGCTGCAGAGCATCGTCCTATTCAGGTACTGAGCAATGAAAATGTGTTTTCATCTTCCAGAAAGGCATCACCAAAACACATGCTGGTTTTGAGGGAAGAGATACAAGAGGAGTCGCCCTCTCGGGTGCTGAGCGTGTGTGCTTGAGGGCGCTCTGGGAAACACACAGTAAAAATGCCATGGGTCCTCCTGCCCCACCCCACACAGCAAGAGATTCCAGCATTCGGAACACACAGAGAAACATTGCAGATCTCCCAGGGAGATGTCTAGATTAGATTTGAAGGAAGCACAGGATTTACAGGATACAGGTATGGGTTGGTGGGGGGGGGGGGTTGCCTGCTGGGGAGGGCATTTAAGCAGGAAGCACTAAGGACACACCGCTGCCTGTGCTCCCATATCTCTGAATGTAGCTGTGTTCCATCCATCTCCTTGGCTATACTCTGAGCTTCCTGGGGGCTGGGCCGGTGCCTTTTGCCTTTATATCTCAAGTGTCTAACACTATACCAGGTACACAATAGGTACAGATACACCTTGAGTGGATGAATGGATGGGTAAATGAATGAATGGGGTAGCCTCTGAGTAGTGGAGATAAATAAATGATTTCTGGGTTGTGAGGGTGACACAGTTTTATACATGTTTTAGGAATATCACAGAGACAGGCCTGTGGGAGCCCTGGCAGTAGGAGAGTTTGAGGATTTTAGTTGGGTGTTTTAAATCTAAGAGGATAAGGCCAGTCATTTGAATCCTTCCTTATCCCCCCAATCTGACCTCTGGTCTTGTAAATAAAGAGCCCCTTTTAGGCTTGGTACGTACAGGAACTGAAAGACCTCAAGCCCATTGGAGATCTGAGGTTTCAGCTCAATGTGGCAGCCACCTTTCCATTCACTGTGCCTTTCAGACGCCTTGGACTTGATAAATATGAGTGAAATAGGAGTTGATTCATTAAAGGAAAAGCCCTGAGGACTTTCATAGCTACAGAGAGGGGGGACACGTTTTGGTCCAGCCATTTGATCTCTCTTCCTATGTTGGAAGAGTTCCCTCCTTATAAATCTTTGTGACAAGAAAAGCCTTCCTTACATTAAGGAAGTAGAACCCATGAAATTGCTTACCCAAGTGTCCTTACAGAGCACTGGCATGGGACCAAAGCTAGCCACCCAGAAGCCCCTCCCTGCCTTGGCCTTTAGTGAGATGCCAGTGACACTTCAGCCACAAACTCCCTATGGGGACAATCTCATCCAGATGGACAGATCACTGCAGTGATCATCCAGAG